CGATGGCATGTTGGCATGGGAACGCCAAGCCCGGCACGGTAGCGGCGGCTGACTGAGTAATGGCACAGCCGACCGCCGCGGCAGGCCACTTTGCACTCCTGCCTGCAATGCATGCACCCTTACATGTGCAGCCTTCTGGTATTTTCATGTGCCTGGGAGATGTGCGGGCATGGGGGCCCATGTGCCCCATGCCATTTGAGTGCCCGGCGGCGGCGCTGCCTGCCGCCGGGAGCCCGCACCAGCATCGGCACCCGTCGGCCTGGCAGGCCTAAGCTGCTAAGGATCCCCACGTCCCCCACCACGTTGTGGGGGTTGCGTGTCCGGCAGGACGGGGAGCGGGGCCAGGGTGGGGTGACCCTGGGACGCTCAGCTGGGGGGAGGGTGGTCGGAGCCATGGAGAGGGTGCTCCATGGTCCACCCCCTCTCTTGATGCCCCTTGATCACGTGAACCCCCTGCCCAAGGTCTGCTCACGCGGCCTATCATAGCGGGGTGACTGTAACACAGGGCCAGCCGCTCCCCCACGCCTTGCCTGCCACACCCGCTCATGCCTGTTGGGTCCTGGCTGCTCCCCTGCAGGCGCCTGCTGGATGACGGTGTCCAAAGCGCCATCACCCACGGACGGAACGCCCCCAGGAACAGGTGCGCGACCCTGCGACTTGCCGCCGCCACTGGCGGCGAAGGCTGAACCAACAGCTGGGCTTGAATCCCAAGCAGCTCACCACGCCGTGCCTGCCTGTCCCCTTGTCGCTGCAGGTTCAAATTTTACGTGTCCATGCGTAAGGCAGCAACCCCTGACGACCATGGTTGCGGCGCCAGCCTGATCCATGAGTCGGTTGTCCTCACGGCGGCACACGTGGGTGGCCCACCTTGCCGGCGCCGCCGGGCACTTGTTGCTGCCTGGATGGAGCGAGGGGCTGGGCACCCTGAGTGCCTGCTGTAGCTCCAGCTGCATGCCGACAAGCCACCCGCTTCCTGCTGCCTCCTCTGCTCCTGCTGCAGTGCATTTTGGGTCGGTATAACAAGTTTGACTATGGCCCCTACGTTGTGAGTTGAAGCGCTGGGTGACGTAGGGCAGGGCTGGTTGCCTGCCTGTCTGTTTCACCTGGTGTGCGTCAAGAGTGTGAATCCGGCCCTGCTGCATTTGACCATCATCAATGTGCCTGGAACCCTTCCAGCGGGCATTTTGTTTGAAAGGTGCCCCAAACTCTGCATGTACTTGCAGGCGCATATCGGCGCTTATGCCTTCAATGCCACCGCCATCCCAGACACTGGCTACCAGGAGCGGCGCGTGGCCAACATTGTGATTCACCCAGACTATGACCCTACCACCTTTAAGAAGGTTAACCGAGGAAACAACGACGTGGCGTTGCTGTACCTCAGCCGCCCCAGCACCTACCCTCCCATCAAGCTGGTGCCTTACAAGGGTGGGTGGGAGGTGCAGCGCTTGCTGCGGGTGCGGTTGGTGCAGTCGTGCGTCCACTGCTGCCGCTGGAGCTGTCCACAGGCAGCAGCCCTTTATGACACCACCCTGTCGATCGCAATCATGGTGCTTTGGATGCGCCTGGCCAGTTTCCACTCTTGTTCAGCCCTGACCTGCACCGTTCATTCATTCATTCATTCAGCACACAGCCCGGCCGCCTCTTGCTCGAGGGCGGCCCACTTTGGCCTGGGCCGCCCGGGCCGCCCTCCCCCCCGGGCGCATGTTCGGTGTTGGAGGGGTGTGCCCAGCGATAGGGGGCCCCTGAAGGCATGCGCCGAGGCCGGGAAGCGTGGTTCGGCGCTGCTGCACGCTTGGCGATTTGACCAGAACCACGTGCCGCCGAGCTGCGGCCGCAGTTTCCGGCCCACGGTCTACGGTCGCAGCCACGGGACTCGGCGGCACGGCGTTTGGGCCCAAGCTTGCTGCCGCCGCCGCCGTGCCCGGGGGGCAGCGCGGCGGCGGCGGCACGCTGCGACGCCCCCGTGCTGCCGAGCTGCGGCCGTAGTTTCCTGCCAGAAGCCCACGGCCACAGCCACGGGACTCGGCGGCACGGAGTTTCGGTCCACGGCTTGCTGCCGCCGCCGTCGCAGGGGTGCTGCCTGCGGCGGCGGCGGCACGGCGTTTGGGTCCACGGCTTGCTGCCGCTGCCGCCGCCGCAGGGGTGCTGCCTGCGGCGGCGGCGGTAGCGCACGTGGCAACCCCCCGCGTTTCCTTGCCTCCCATCCACCGGACCCCGTCCTGCGCTTCACTTTGTTTAGGGAGGGGCTGCTCACTGCTCATTGCTCATTGCTCATCGCACACTGCTCAACGCTCATGCCCTATATCCCACCCAGCCGCAGGA